GCACTCCAGTTTCGGCGACAGAGTGAGACTCCATCTCAAAAAAAAAAAAAAAAATCAATTCAGTATAAAATATCAGAAAAGAAATTTCACAGTCACAATGTAGCAATAATGTATGCCCAGTTTGCACATTGTGGACACTGGGTACTGCAACAGGTAATATATAAACGTGCTAATTATTGCATAGTACTAAATTCAGGATTTAAATTTAAAAAGATTTGGATATAAGATAAATACCTCCTAGTAGCAAAACAGGATTTGTGTTACGGTGTGTTAAGGCTCTATGAAGAGACCACTTAGTTACTGGAACAGAGCTCACAACTGTCACCAATGGCAGCAGGTATTTTGTTTTAATTTTATTTTAAAATAGAACAAAGGGAAATTCTGTCTTTAAAGTGATAGGACAGCATTTTAAAGTGTGATTAACTTTTTAAACTAAATTTGACTTAACACTTTAATCTCCAGCTCTGCCCTAATCTACAACCACATAATGATGTAAAACTACATTGCATTTATCATACATAAAAAATTGTTCATGCTTCTATAATAGTTGAATCTAAGTTTTGGAGCAGGAATAAGAGAACTAAAAGCATTTTCTCTATAACAAAAACTTTGTTGGGAAATTCTTCAATGGTAACTAAAAAGTAAAAAATAAATGTTTTCTCCCTAGTACAAAATGGAATTTTAAAAAAAACAACCAAACAGATCACACAGATTTTCATAGTCCACTTGGGGCCTCCCCTATTGCCTGGATTCTGTGAAGAGCAAACAAATATTTGTTCCCTATCTGCAGAAAGAGAACCCACCATCATAAGCAGTCAAATCAAACTGCAGAAATAAAGACCTGGAAGATTGTTATTTGATCAGATGACATCCACTTGCTTGAAAACTGGAACATGTAGCTTCACTGTGAAACTGACTTCCGTCCTTTTAGTCTGGGCCAGTCTCCAGATCAGACTTTTGGTTAACTGCTGTCAAATAAAAACCGTAAATGAATAACCCAAGGAAGAATTCTGTTTGTGTTTTTTTTTTTGTTTTTGTTTTCAGATTTCTAAATTTGCTGTCATGGAACACTTGAGACACTTGAGACAACCTTGGTAATTTTTGTTTTTGCTTTTCTTCCACAAAAGTTGGTTTCATCCACACCTGAGTTAAGGAACAAGTGAAGGTTGGTTTTGTGTTAGTAAAGCACTTTGAAAACCTTGACAGAAGCACAAAAACAGATAAAGGCAAGAGAGGCTTAATTTATCAAAGTATTGCAGAACAGATGAGCCCCCAAATTGGAGCTTTGCCCAGGAGGGTTATCCAGGAAAGAATTCAGCGTTAGCAATCTTTTATTGAACAGTGCTGCTCCCTACAGAGCAGGGCTAACTCAGAGGCAGTGCAACTGAAGTTGAAAACATATGGGTTCTTGGCAACTGTATTTATACTCATTTAAACCCACTTTCAATTACATGCAAATTAAGAAATGGGTCAATGCAAATTGAGGGACAGTTTGTTTAGAACTTTCTAGGAAAAGGGTAATAACTTCCAGGTCATTGTCATAGCTTTTGTAAATTGGCATGGTGCTGGTGGGTGTGTCTTATGCTAATGAGCAATGAGGGCAGCCCTGGATTGCTTTGGTAGCCATCTGCTGGTTCCTAATCATTTATTCACTTTATCCTATTTAGACCAGATCCTTTTTTGGTCAGCAAGGTTGTGACCAGAAAACAAATCCTGCCTGTCTCCTACTTCAAAAGGATAAATTAAGGGGCTCAAAAATAGAAGTATTGAACTTCTTTCAATTCATTAACACTTTCTTTGCAGAACTATGAAAGATGAATCGGGCTTGGCAACTTATGTATTTTGGACTAATTTATAATAACTACAACAAACCCTCCAGCATCATAAACATGTCCTGGCATAATGCAATGGCGTGCTATCCATCCCGTAAAATCTCATGGTAGTGACTCAGAAATACGAGGGTAAAAGAGAAGCTATGGGATTTAGTTGTTTATGTATTTATTAAAGCTGGGAAATAGGCTTTTTATGTCATCCAGGACAATTTTGCAGTCTCTTATGGATGTACTATTTATTGTAACTTATGGGGAAAACTCATGATGAGACTCAAACAAAATCTTTGCATTCCCTGGAAAATTATTGCCCTGATTAAATAAGAAGTCAGTATAAATGCATATAAAATATTCATTTAATGTTTGTAGTACTGTAGACCATTTAACATGACAAAATTTAACACAAAAGAAATTGTAATTAATCAGTTATCTGAAATGTACTTGGCTGTTATGCTTTTTATGTCTTGGTAAATTTCATACTTAAAAATAGTTGGTTTTTTTAAAGATAAAAATCTTTACATGCAGAAAACGTAAAACGATGGCCTATTAAATCATGTTTAATTTACTAATCATGAAGTTGGTAAATTTTAATCAACATTTATTTAAGCAACATTTCATCAAATGCATACTAGATACTAGGTACAGGTCCATTCTGAGGGTTAGAAATAATG